TAATTCCTATATGAAATAAGATTCCTTTTGTTGTTGCCAGGGTTCGTACGGTCCTTAAGAGTCTTTAAGTTTTTTGGAATTGATTTTTGGTCCTTAAAAGTCCTTAATTTTGACCAAAATCGGCAGAAGGTCCTTAATTTTAATCATCAGAAATGTCTGTGTGTTTTTACAAGTGCCATTTTGAGTGTGAATTATCATTTTGGAGCAATATATTTGGCGATTCACTGACATATATGGTTATCTTTTGAATGGGTTCATGGGTTAAAATTTGTTCCTATTTCTAATATAAATGGTGGGGTACTGGAGTTTCTAAGCAAGAAGTGAAACATAAGCATTTCGGAATTCATTTTTTCTAAGAAGAGCTCTTAAACAACTTTTCTCCTTTGTTAAACGGTTCTGAATTTGGCAATTTATCAACATTTTGGCGATTTTAAGATCAGTTTCTATAAAAAGTTTTTAATTCCGAAATCTGGGAATTTTTCGACAATAGTTTTTAAAACATTGTAACGTTGATAAATTTTACTAAAATAATAATATATTGAAATTATATTTAAAAATAACATTTATTTAAAATAAAACATTTTTATTTTTCGCTGTCATATTATAAAGTTTTATTTTGGCAACTTATAATACAGTATTTTGAGTCTGAAAAATAAACAAGATATAATGTATAGAAAATGTATGTATAAAGCACTATTGACAAAACAGTTCTTAGCCAAAGCAAAATTAGCTATATAGTTAATTAAAAATTTCTTTTTTAAAATTTTTTCATAGTAAGAGTTTTTTCCATGTAATCGTGTCAGAATATTCAGAATATGCATCAGTTTTGTCTATAAAATTATTTTTACATTTTTTCTCTCCTTTTTTTTTCCAAAATATTTCTGGCTTTTTGCTATTACAGAATTAGTAGGGATAATTTTTCTTTAGAATTTTAGACATTGGAGCTTGGAAAGTTTAAAAGAATTTGAAGCCAAGATTTATAGACCCACAATTCTAGAAATATGTGACAAAATAAAAAATGTATCCATATTATTAACACGTAATGGATGTATTTTACACAAAGTTTGCGGTGAATTTCTTACTTTTTGGAGAACGTCTAGAAAAACAATGAAAACATACTATTTGAATGTTTTACTTCTGATACTAGAATCTTTTTCTTAGCATGTTAATCTTCCTTTTAGTTTCTCTACTTTTCACTAGACACAAGTATGGAAAAGATCAAAAATGCTCATAATCTTATCACATGGGCAGGTGTTATAGAAAGGAATTTTTTTATTAATAAAAGATTTATCTAATATGTCTTAATGCATCATACACCGAGCTGGCACTACGCATTTTCCCTCCTGATGCAACCTTTCTGCTGCCTAGTGCCTTTCTAAATTCTACTTCCAATGTTTGCTGTAAATTCTAAAAGTTTGCCATTTCTAGATTTTGTTGCTCGGTGTGTCACTGAATTTTAAATAGTCTGCCGCACCAGCTCTGTAACCGACCCTTACCATATATATTTCATATTTCTTCTGAATGTTCATATTACTAAACAAATAAAATTAGCCGCTTTTCTGTACATTCTAAATGCATTTAATGCATTTAGTGTTTTTTAGAATAACAGAAATCCTTAATTAAATCCAAAAATTCTAAAATGAAAAGGAAATGTGTTGAGGAAAGAAACTGAATCCATAAAGAAAATTATTCTTCAAAGATATGTGCAGTTATTATTATGTAAATTACCCAATTGTTTATAATTTCAGCCTTTACTATAATTTCCCATTTCTATTTCTTCATATGATACAGTTATTGAGCCAGATTAAATTTAAATTAAATTGTATAATCTTTGACCACTAGTCTACATTATTAGTTTGAATTTGACTGTTCTTGTTTAATTACATCACCGTGAGCTGTAATTGATTTTGTTAGCATCAGAACATGCCTTTATGTTCTAATTTCTTTTTAAATAAGAGGTTTATTTAAACCTTTGTCTGATATTATAATTACTTTCAGACATAGCAATAATTTGATTCACGTCTGTCGGAGTTGGAACTATTTTAACTTTTACCAGATCAAGTAAACCCTCATAGGTATATTGTGGAGAGGTTGACAAGTTAGCAGGTAAAGCATGCAGAAACTAGTCAGAGCATTGGTTTGCGTATTGAGACAAATTTCTGATTGTTAGAAAAGATGCTTAAAGAGGTGGAAATCGATAAAAATTTTTAGATAATATTTTTAATTGAATTTATTCAGTCCTCATAGGTCCTTAATTTTTTCATTAATGGTCTTTAATTTCCGTGTGTAGAAATGTGTACAAACCCTTGTTGCCCAATAGATTTAAATAATAATTCAACATTTTAGCTATTTTAGACTTATGTAACTTGAGGTGTGTACAGTCCTTAAAAGTCCATAGATTTTTTCCAAGGGATTTTTAGTCCATTTAAATCCTTAATTTTGCTTATCTGACATTTCTCTCTCTCTCTCTTCCTCAAATTCATTTTAAAGGATTCTGAATCAAAATTAAATGAATGTAGAATTCAAACAATACAGCTGTTAACAAAGCCATTGCAATAAAAGTGCAGTCTGTATAGAAAGTTTTTGAAAAAGGGGGGGGGAAGAATGTTAACTTTACTCCCGTGTTTCAAGTTAATGTGACATAAACATGACTATTAAAAAAAGTCATTTCTCCATCCATTTTTATCGGTGAGAATTCAGAAATTCTTCTCTGATTATGAATGAAAGATATAAATAGGATACTACAAAAAGGAGCATTAGAACAATCTAGGTCTTGAGAAAGTGTTCATGTAAGGTCTCTAGTAATCTGTCTGATAATGTTATTTCAAGTTTCAGTACTCGACTCACTTAGGATATATATGGCTATCTCTATCATAATGTGCTCTTCTAAATTAAGTGAAACAAAAGTGTCTCATGTCATTATTAATTGAAATATGATCATGTAACATGGCTACTGATAAAGTTCATTTGCAACACTATATTTTATACCAGTTCCAAAAGTGAAGAATGCTACAGAAGCATGACGAAATTTCATGAAAGTTTTTTAGTGGAGATGGAGTATCGGACAGAACATGCAGGAAATGGCTTTAAAAAATTTGATGTACGTGATTTTGACTTGAATGCACCATGCTTTGTATGGCCATTTTTGATTGATGATATTGTCAAGATTATGATAAAGCAAAATCTTTTTTTGATAACATTGGAGACTGGTGGGCTGAGTTAAGCTTTTCTGCAAACTGTTTTGAACCGCATATGGAAACTAATTTTGGTTTATGTATATTCCTGATGGTGCCTGAGTTAAGTGAGAAAAATTTGCATGATCGAATCGTCATATAACACATCTGTGCTTGCTTGGAACAAAAATGGGTTAGTCTATATTTTACGGTGCCCCTTGGATTATCGCCAAGTTGATGTTTCATTTATGGTAACCTGAGCAGTTGAATGTTATGGAAACCCTATTATGACATGATTGGTTATACATGATTGCGGTGAATTGGACTGATGGGAAAATATTTGTAAGAACTTATTTCTGTGTTGGATCTCAGTTAGGAAGTACATTGCTTATTTTTTGCTGTACACCGTAAAATGGCTGTATATGATGAGATTAATCTGAAGTTTCTGTACAATTTGGAATGAAAGGGGGGAAAAAAGCATTACTTGACAGGTGCGTAAATGAAGGTTTTTTTTTTTTTTTTTTTTTTTTTTTCTTGGTAGTCATTATAAGTGTCCTGTTTGTACGAAGGAAATGTATATGGTCGAATGTAAAGATCGTTCAGATGGCTTTGAATGGGTTAGTCGCAAGAAAGGTTCATGCAGAAAGTGCTGCCAACAGTCCGCCACTACAGAGAATATTTTTGTGAATTTATGTGCTAACGGCAGTATGCATAGTTTTGTTCAAATGATTTTAGAAAGTTTTTAGATGCTGTTAAGGAATTTTGTGTGTCACAGTCTGAAGATACAGGTAAATATGGTAACTCGATATTTCCTTTTTTATGTTATTTCATTGTGGGATTTAAAATGCAGTTTATTGAGCTTTGATTGGATACAAATTTTTTCCAATTTTGGTGATGAATAACTTTAACATTATATGACGTTATCATTCTGATTCTTTTAAGTGAAAATAGATCAAAAATAATTGGTGCCTTCTCTAGTGAGTTTTATCTCATTCAACAATGAAATTATCACATACACATATATATATGGACAAAGTCAAGGGAGTGCGTAGTGCCGAGTTCGTGCAAATCTTTGATGTTTTTTTTAAATGAAAATTGATCGCTTTGTACATGAGCACAAGAGTTTGTGCAATTCTTTGTTATTTTGTTTTTGTGTAGCAACCATCTTGAAATTGTGCCTTGCTGGCCAATCTTCTAGTTTTTGCCAACGGGCACCCTGAAATATATTTTTACCCAAAAATAAACCGAGATACTGTAAGCCCGGACTACTTTCCTTCTTCACCTCTAAAATGAATAAGATAATGCTGTGTATATGGTGGAACATCCAAGAACCAATACATTATGAGCTTTTAAAATCTAACAAAAAGCTCAGTTTGGATAGATACTGCCAGCAAATGATTTAAATAAAGCAATCAAAGGAAAGAGGTCAATGATGTTCAATATGAAGTACATCATACTGCATCACAATGATGCCAGACCACCTTGTCAGATTATTACAGAGCTGGGCTGGGAAATTTTGTCTCGTCAACCATACTCCCAGATCTAGCACTCTCCAATTATCACTTGTTTCTCTTCTTGCAAAATTTTTAAAAGGGGGGAAAAGTCCAAAACAAGCAAATGTCAGCCAAGCCCTACTTGAGATTTTCACCTCTAAGTTTGACATTTTTCCAAAATACACAAGCTCTTTTTTATTATTATTATTAAAAACCATTTTTAGAAAAACATTATCTTTGGTTTAACAAATTTTGAATACCTTAATAAAAATAATATTCTCGAAAACTGTTATTTCTTTTTCAAAAAGTTTTGTAAAATATATTTCTTTTCTAGGAATCTTCTATATGGAATAGTGATTGCGATTCTCCAAGTACTTCTGGAAATATTAAAGACAGTAGTGGATACGATTCTCTGAGTACTAAAGACAGCCAAAATAGTGGATCTTCTCAGGAGAAGTTTGATGATCAGATACCTGTGGAAAAAAGCATTGAATTGTGTTTAATATGTTGTTCGAAACCTGCAAATGCTTCGATCATACATGGAAATATAGGGCATGTGATATGTTGTTATAAATGTGCTTTAAAATTGAAACGTAGGAACAAACGCTGTCCGGTTTGCAGGAGGACGATAGATAAAGTTGTGTACCAAGTTTGTAGTGTTTGAAGATTGCATATAACGTATGATTTTGTTAAAAGTGTGTTTAGTTTTATATCAATACCCTGTACAGAAAAGTGTTTGTGAATATAAATTATAACTGTGCAATAAAGAAGGTTAAATATATAAAGTATCCTTCTTTTTATTCTTATCCTTCCAAAAAAAAAGTATGCTCGCTCCCTTTCGGGGGTTGCTGAAAGCAGTTAACATTTTGTACCTCTGATTTTATATATAACTGGATTGTCTATAACTTTTGAATTGTGTACTGTTTGAAAAATAGGAGAAAAGAAGTTAGAAGGGAAATACAATATTATTTTAATTAAAATATATGTATATAAAAGATACAAAATATGAAAGAAAATTACTAACTTAATTACCTTTACCTTTTAATTCCTGATTTTATTTTTGTCTACATCCCCCTTCAAAGAAATTGTATTGTGCTACTTATGTCATTATTTCATCTGCCGTGTAAAAGCTCATACCCAGTCACCATTCAGAACTCAAACAAAAGATTCCAATCTTATTTATAGGCCCTGCTGAAGTGCATATTCTTTTTCCCCCCTCCTTGTCTGATTAGCTTGTATCAAGCAGCTGCACTATGTTGTGTAGCCCCCCACCCTAAATCCAATAAGTGTATTTAGAATATTGTGTGATGTTTGTTGTGCCTATATTGATGTGAAGAAAAGAAAATATGTCCTAAGAAATCATTCTTCAAGAAAAGAAAAGTATGTGTTCTGTTCATTATTTACAAAGTATTCAGTATGCAAGTTTTTTCTTTCATGCATGTGCAAACTGCATCTATCATTATCCTCATCACAGCTGCAAAATAATTGGTGCCTTCTTTAGTGAGTTTATCTCGCTCAACAACGAAATTATCACACACACACATATATATGGGGGGGGGGGGAATTGGGGTGACATCACTTAGTAAATATGAAGAATCTTCTTTCCCAACCCACAGAACATTTAATTGCATACAAAGGTGCAACAGATTAATTTGGAATATGACAGTTGTTTAGTGCCTCTCCTTGCACTGGTTAAAAACACACAGATATTTTTGCATTACTTTACATTTTTACACTGCCGCATGGCGCTTGCTTGTGCTCATTCATGAAAACGGAACAAAATTAAAACGTCCATCGTCACCAACTTCACATGGTCTGTCACCTGTTCTCTGTCTTCAGGTATGCAGGCGATGTTCTTCCTGTTGCACAGTGCCCTCTGGTCCCTGCAAAACATATTGTTCCCACAGTTTGACATCCTGATTCACATTTTTGGCCTCGAGAACACAGATCTGCAACACTGGTGCATCAAGCCATCATCTAAAAATAAATTTTTTCAGAAAGGAAGGGTTTACATTACGCCCAAAGCGACACTTTTTTAACGTTTTGTGTGTTACCTTTATTAAATATCATGTTCTTTGCACTTAAACCATAAAATTCAATTCAATAGCAATATCACAAAATAATTTTAAAATGAGCATAGCTTTAAAATTCCTGATACACAGTCTCGCTCGCTAAAGATAAAAATGTTTTTTCATACAGTGTTGCCATTGCTTGTTTTGAAATCGTCAAGTTTTTTATTTAAAAACTCAGTAATGCTTTATAAAATATGAAATAGATAATAAAATGAATTCCAAATTAGGGCATCCAGATGCCCATATTCGGTGGAGGATTACATCATTCAAAATTTGGTGGCTCTAACTACCATTGTTTTATCACAATGCGAGAAACGTACATACGTTTGTGAAGATTCCTCATTATTTACTTTCTTTAAATATAACACAGAGCAATAATATTTGGTGGCAACAATTTGAAAAGTGATTCAACGCAAAATGCCAAAACGAAATTAACAGCCCTGCTCGGCTAATGCCCTTTGGCATTATTGCATAGTTCTAAGTTGGAACAGTCCAGGGCTTCATATCAGCTGCTGTGGTTGTACGGTCAGGACTTTCAATGTTGTTCTACTTTTTTCACTTGGTCTTAGCTGTTTCTCACTGTTACACAATACGGACCAAAGACCTTACCTTTATTTAGACCTCCTCCATGTTGTGTTCATTGTATGGCCATTAAATCATTACCGTTATATTCCGGAGCCTCTTGTACGTTTTTCTATTCTCTTCCTAAATTTTTTTAATGTTTTTCCCCTGTTTCCTCTTTAATAATATCATCTCCAACTTTCATTAGAATATTTGTGTTTTCTTCTTCGAGAACTTCTGTTAATCAAGTCCTCTCGATTTCTCATTTTAACACCAGTGAGGAGCTCAAAAAGTGAGCTCTTAGTGCTGTTTAAGATCTGTTGTGCATTTCCAATGTATTTGTACCATATGGTAGAATCTTGAATTCTTTCCACCTGCTTATAGGAATGCTAGTAGTAGTTGTAAATATGTGCTGGATCTTTTCTTGCATACAGTAGTCAAAATCTTTAGGGGTAAAAGCCATACCTTTATCAGTTATTATTCTCGAGGGATTGCCAAAAATTTATTGTTTCAGCTTTTGCAATGCCTCTTGAGCAGATGTAGACTTCATTGGCTGGAGCCATACGAACTACGTAAACACATCGACGATTGTCAAGATAATGATTGTAGCTCTTATTTGTCAACAGTAATGGTCCTATAAAATCGATATAAATGCTCAAAGGGATACTGTCTTTTGGTATGAGATTCAGCAAACTTTTGCCCTTACCTTGTTGGTTTTTTTTTTTTTTTTTTTTTTTTTTTTTTTACTTCTCTCCCACAAAATGCACTTTACACAACTTGCTTGACTTGCTCAGTTCAAATTCTAAGGTTAGGAATATAAAAGTATATCTTCTGTTTTAGACACTGTGACATGTCCCTTGTTGTGGCTACAACGTATGATTTCTAGCTGGGTCGAACTTGTATAACATGCCATTGTTCACTGTGTATTCTTCCTTCAGTTCTTGCTCAACTAAGGATTTTAGCAACTGGAGGCACTCATCACTTCTTTGTACAGCTGCAGCTTTAGCTATATCTCCCTGAAAATAGGTAACCATCATGACAGCATTTCTACTCGTCGGTGTGCTTTATTTGCTGCCTTGAGCGAATTCTTGAAGTAACACCCATTTCACCAGTTTGAGTTAGATTTTCCTTGAAAGCATTACAATTAGTAATTATTCTGACCTTGGATCCCAAGAGGTATTTTCTGGGTTTCTTTAGAGCTTCCACTATAGCTAAAACTTGAAGCTCATAACTAGGTAGCTTCTCTGGTTGGAGCTTAGTGTTTTACTCGTGAAATGAATGTGGTGTAACTGTCCATCATCAGACTTTTGTAGCAAAGCAGTTTTTTTAGCAAAAACAGCAAAAAAAAAAATGACTGCTTGCACCTGTATGCAATTCTAGTGATGCTCCTTGTTTGAAAATATGAAGAACAGAGCTAGTCAATAAAAGTTCTTTCAGTTAGTTAAATGCTTGCTTTTGCTGAGGCCCAGATTTGAATTTCACCTCTTTATGAAGAAGTCACTCAGTGGTTTGGCTGTTTTAGAATAGTTAGCAAAAAAATTTCTGAAATATCCCATAAGACCTAAGAAGCTCTGAATTTGCTAAAGGTTTTGGGACTGCGAGAAATTTTGAACAGTTCTTCAGAACAGGAGCAAATTGTACCATCCTCAATAATATACGCAAGAAATTCTATTTTTTTCTTTTTAAAAACTAGCCTTTCCTAAAATTGATCTCTAAATGAATTTCTTTCGCTACTTCTAAAACCTTCTTTCTTGTCTCCCATTGGAATGATAAAATCGTCCATGTAAGTAACAACGGTGTCATCCCAAAGTAAGTGACATTATAAATAATTCTTTGGAACACAATCTGTGATGTACGCAAACTAAAAGCCGCTTTTAAAAATTCTAGAGACCTACATGTATAATGAATGCTAAATATTTAGTGCAGTTTCCCTTCATATGAAACATAGAAAAATAACCACTTTTTAACAGGGTGCATACGGTCCTTAAGAGTCCTTTGGGGGTTTTTTTTAATCGATTTTCGGTCTTTAAAAGTAATTAAGTTTGGCAAAAATCGGTAGACGGTCCTTAAGTTTAATCATCTGAAATTTCTGTCTGATTTTATGACTGCCATTTTGAGTGTGAATTAGCATTTTGGGGGATTCGCTGGACATATATGGTTACCTTTTGAATGGGTTCAGGTGTTATAACTTGTTCCTATTTCTAATATAAATGGTGGGATACTCAAGTTTCTAAGCAAGAAGTGAAACATGAGCATTTCGAAATTCATTTTTCCTAATGAGCTCTTAAACAACTTTTCGCTTTTGGGGATGTGAATTCTTTTTTTAAACAGTTCTAAATTTGACGACTTTTCAACATTTCAGCGATTTTAAGATCAGTTTCTAAAGAAAATTTTTTTTAATTACGAGATCTGGGAATTTTTCAACAATTTTTTTAAAACATTGTAATATTGATAAATTTCATTAAAAAATAATGGTTATATAATGAAATTATATTTAAAAAATAATATTAAAATAAAACATTTGTATTTTTTGCTGCCATATTATAAAGCTCTATTTTGGCAACTTATACAATATTTTGAATCTGAAAAGTAAACAGGGTACAATGCTATAAAAAGTACAATTTACGAAATAGTTCTTAGTAAAAGTAAAATTAGCTATGTAATTAATTAAAAATATCTTCTTTTTAATTTTTCCATAGTAAGAGTTTTTACCATGTAATTGTTGCAGAATTCTATGAATATGCATCTTTTACCAGATCAAGTAAACCCTCATAGATACATTGTGGAGAGGTTGACAAGTTAAAAGGTAAAGCGCGAAACTAGAGAGAACACTGGTTTGCATATTGAGACAAATTTCTGACTGTTAGAAAAGATGCTTAAAGAGAAGGAAATTGATATAAATTAACCAAAATGTCTGGGAAGGCTTCAAATTAAAAAGACTCATAAATATTTTGTTGAGTGTTCTTGTTACAAAACATAAATGTTTTGCAGCTTTTAATGTGTAATTATCCTATAATATCGTTTCAGAATTAACGTTATAAATTACCTGTATTTTAAACTGAAATTTTATTGGATTGTGATTTTAATAGGCCTTTTTTAACAAATATTGTTTAAAAATAAATAACATTTAATAGTAGCCATGTAAATC